GGCTTGTAATCCCAGCAATTTGGGAGGCCAAGGCGAGTGGATTGCCTGAGCCCATGGGTTTGACACCAGCCTGGGCAACTTGGCGAGACTTCATCTATGCAATAAATCAAAAAAATTAGCCGGAAGTGGTAACACATGGCTGTAGTTCCGGTTACTTGGAAGGATGAAGCGGAAGGATCCCCAGAGCCCAGCAGGTCGACACTGGGGTAGCCATGAGCATGCCACTGCACTCTAGCCTGGGTGACAGAGTGAGACTCCAACTCAAAAAAAAAAAAAAGCTAACAAAGATATAATATGGTTAAGATTTATACCCAACCCAACAGATGTGGTAAATAAGCAGTCTAAATAGATAGTAGTGTCCCCCGCCCCCCACACGATGGTAGCAACTGAAGTGATCTGGAAATGGTACTTAACAGGCAACTGTAGTACGGTAGAACAAAAGTTTTACTATAACTTTAAAGATCTACTTTGCCACTTGTTAGCTATATAACCTTAATTGGAAAACACTATAAGCACATGTAAACTGATTAATATCATTATCTGACCTAACTACACTGACCAAGTGCCTGACACACAAAAGGCATTCCTTTAGAACAGTTATACCTGAGCCTGAACTCTGATTAAACACCCATGCATTCCCAGTGTTTTTCTATTAGGAGCAATATCACCTAGTAATTACATACAATAACTAAAATTCACACTTAAAAAGGATAAACATTTTGTTAACATTTACCTGTTGCTGTCCTTGCTGTGCCTGTGGGGTGGTCTGTTGATTAGCTGAATTAGTTGCGGCAGCAGCAGCAGCAGCTTGCTGCTGGAAAAGACTGGCAGGGTAGACTCCCCAGGGAGTAACTCCATAATACTGGTGAGGGACCACAGCTGGGCCTAAAAACAGCCAGAGAAAGGTAAAGAAAATTTAGATTACTAAGAATCATCTCAGGGTTTCCAAAGACTACATCTGACTCAGCAGATCCTATTGTCAAATATTAACTTAAAAATATATACTGATTTGTGCTAGTTAATCATTAATTCTCCTTTTTAAAAACAGAAAATATTCTGAGATCCTGACACCAAAGTCAGTGATATACTCTAGGCCTAGAAGCAGCAGCCAGTGAGGGCTAAAACATTAGAGATACTTAGCGAAAGGGAGAATAACTGACAGAAGTTGGACAGGATTGAATTTAAGAACAGATGGAGGAACCAGCCTTGAAAGAAGGCATGATTTTTCCCCCAGAGAAAGAAAGGATGCAAGATAGATACAGACAAAATGTGTTGCTAGAAGGGAAGAAAACGGAGGCTTTGCATGCTTAAAGTAATGGAACAGAACAAAAGGTTCAGATGCATCCTGTGTTCAGTGGGAAGAATGGCATCTCAAGTGAGTCATAGATCCTGAGATACCAGTGCTTCACTAACTCTGGAAACATGAAAATCTATCAATCTTCTGACAAAACCCAGACACTCAACTGAACCTTTACTGCTCAATGTCCACTGCTTGGTTTCCTGTTTCTATTCTGAAAATCACAAAAGTCATTCAACACAATTACATTCAGACATTGATATCTGAAATTTTAAGTTTCAGTCAAAATTGAACACAAACCGAAACAAAAAAATATGACACTTTGACTTGTTACAGACCTGTGGGGTATTCTTAAAAAAACTAAGTGTTCTGTTTTAATCCAAATATCTGTTAACCTTCTTTGGCAATAAGGTAAAGATGAACTCTCTGCCACACAGAGCAGGCAATAGAATTCTTTGATGAAACTGGTAGCAAGAAACGCAAAGATGAAGATTCTCTAACCAAGAAATGGGTTCAAAGCCAGTTCCTCAAATCTGCTGAAACATATCTCCAATTTGAACTCTCTTAGTTAAAGCACAGAGTTAAATATTCACAACTTGATTAACTAATAATCAATTCTTCAATTATAGTTCCAAAAAGTTGTTTTGAATATTATAACTATTCTGACACAGTAGCAAATCCAGGATAAACACATACTTCATTAATTGAAAATAAATTGGTACAGGCTTTTTGTTTCCCTATTTTAAGCTTCTAAAACACAAATAAGTCAGAATGTATCACTGTCCAATATGTTTTTACACTTCTAAGTTGGTGTTTTCTGTACCTGTGTGCTTAGCAAAGATCAAGCTCTATTTACAAGCAAGGGTGCTCAGTGTGAAACACTACAGCTGGATACAGAATGAAGGTCTTGCTTAGAAATGCTGTTACAATATGAACTATTTTACCAAAAGTATTTTTAACCTGTCAGAACTTAAGTAATCTAAAAGCCATACCCACAATTTTTAAAAAGTGATGAGTCTCTAAACTCATGTAACCAGTGTTCACAAAGCAGGTTGTTCTTGGTAATTAAATAAAAGAATGAGAAGAATAACATAACAAAGACTCTACCTGTGCCTTGGTTTCATCACTTGTAAAATGGGTATACAGGCTGAGTATCTCTTGAGACTAGATGTGTTTTAAATTTCAGATTTTAGAATATTTGCATATATGTAATGACATATCTTGGAGATGGAATCCAAGTCTAGGTGGAAAATTCATTTGTTTCATATACACCTTATTCACATAGCTTGAACGTAATTTTACTTTTCTGTTGAGGATGCTGAATAAACTGAAACTGTATGGCATGTGCCTGGGTTTTGGTTACAGCCTATCACATGAGGTCAGGTGTGGAACTTTGCACTTGTGGTGTCATGCTAGTGCTCAAAAGGTTTCAAATTTTGAACTTTGGGCTTAGGGATGCTCAACCTGATAGGTGTTAGGAACGTGCCATACCTACCTTGAAAGGATGGTTTGCAACCTGCAATAATCATAACCAAGGCTCCCTGAAAAGCCAACAAAAAGAACCTCTACTGGGCATGGACTGCTATTACCAAAAACATTTTGAATTATCCTTTAAATTTTCTCAACTGTCATTTATACTACTTTACTGTGGTCACGTGGTCTATGACTGAATTTAGGAAAACATCCCAGGGAATCAAATTAGTGTGGCTCATCAGGGTACCTGCTTCAATTCCTGTGTGATTAATACCTTGTAAGAATACAGAGATCCATTATTTTGGGTAGCTAACATTTCCTGTTACGAGTGAAAGTACTTAAGTCATTTTTACCCCAGCTTAGCTGATATGGGCAAAAAACAAGATTCTTTTCATCACCAAGCTATCATCTCAATGATGGTAGATATGTTATCCCCAAGACCAGTTCTTCGTTACAAGTAATACTAAGCAAGTAAAGAAAAGGACTTCTAAAGAAATTCCAGAAAAGAAATTCAAGAGCACAGGCATTCTGTATACAGTGAAGTATATGCATGGGCTTTGGAATTAAACCTGGTTCAAACCCCAACCCTACAATATTTAAATTGTATGACTGCAAATAAAGTAACTCTGAAATCAAAATTTCTAATCTGTAAAATCATTACAGAAAATCATATGAAAAAAGCATTCAGAACAATGCCTGACAGACAGTTAAGTGTTTAATAAATATTAATGGTAGTTAGCAGAGATCGTTCTCCTAGGAAGAGCTTTCTATTTTCTCAAAGGTGGGCAGGGGGAATGTGATGAATTCTATATTAAATATGTTCCCATCACAATGCTAAAATGTAAACGATTCTAAAGAAAACCTAAGAAAAGCTATGCTACATTTCAGTTCACAATTGAAAAGTATATGCTATATAATTAGTAAAATTTCACAATTATACAGTAATAATTGACTTGAAGGGAATTGCCTCCAAATGAATATTTACTTTGGAAGACATTTAGTTTGTTTGAATGTTCAATCCAATTCACCACACATCTACGGCCTCACTACGGTGACAGAAACTGTGCTACACAGAGTTAAATAACAAAGATATCTGCCTTTGAAAACTTCAGTCTGAAAGGAAACTAAAACACTCACGTGTACATTCACAAGCAAATAAAAAGAATGCAGTACTTAGTGACAGAGAAAGAACAGTGAATAGTTAGTAACGAAGGCTTCCCAGAGGTGACAGTGCCAGCTAAGGAGCTTTACAAAGAATGAAAAATAATTTAATATAGAAGATCACAATGTCCAAAGATAGAAGCCTAAACCAATGCAATATGTGTAGCAAACTAAAATCACATTTGTATTTCTACAATGTACAGCGTGAGCCAGTGGTAGTCAATGAGGAAGGGAAGAAGAGTGGCACATGCAGAAAACTGTATCCTCTGTGAGTCATAGAGAGAAAGCCCTATATACGATGGATCTCAACCCTAGCTAATCCTGAAATTACTCATTAGCTCCTTAAAAATACTAACTTGAAGGAACAAAACACCACCATCACCACTTACCACCCTCAAGTAAGTTATAATGATCAGCCACTGATAATAATTATAGTATGCTATATATTAGGGTTAAAAAAGAAAAGAAAAGAAAAATCAATAAGGGGTTTAAGCAAAAGGGTGAAAGGGTAAGATTTGTATTTGAAACCATTTTCTTGAACAATTTATAAGGGTAGAGGAGATGAAACAGGCAAGGAAAATTAGAACTACATGAAAGAGACCAGTGAGCATAAGAGCCTAAACTATGGTAGACTAGAGGTGGTAGGATACCTATGCAAGGGGAAAAATTCCCAAAGTATAAAAGAGCAACTGGTGCTCCATGGATCAAATATATCTATGCAGGGGGTAGGTGATTAATTTGCCTTTGAACATCTTCAAGCCTGAGGGGACTGTGTTACAGTAAAGGAGATAGATCCAGCTGGCAGGTAGATGGCACTGAAAATCAGGAAAGTCTCCACTGGAGACATGGATTTGGGAAAGAGTATAAAGAACACATGCCCATCTCAAATGACGTTTAAGCAGGTGAGAAAATCCCTCATGCAGCAGAATGTCTCACCTAGTGTCGCTGCTGCAGCCAATCCAGCTGTGTAGGGGTCCGTCCCTGGGGGAGCAGCGCTGATGATGTATGGATTGGGGACAAACGCAGCGGGAGCTAAACCTGCTGAAAACATACCTGTCAGTAAAAACAAACTTGACTAAAACTGCAGCCCTACCAAATACCTAGACCGTTTGGCTATTCATTCCAGGCTGTGGATGAAGAAAAAAGAAAAAAGAGAAGACAGGACAGGTTGAGAGTAAGGAGGATTTTTAAAAAGATAACCCCATACTAAAAACTATGGCAAAATTTATATATAGTCCATTTTTTTACCTTTGCAAAGAAATCTTTAACTTAATAAGAGTTTTAAATTCAGCCTAATTTCTAAAAAGATTATTAAAATTGCAATAGGCTAAAATAGAGCAATTTAAAAGACTTTTGTAAAATAGAATGAAAGAATATATTTATTTCCATTTAAAACAATTTTCCAAACAGTTTTCATCGAACAAAAAGTATGAGTATTTATAAGAGATTGCCATTTTCAACTATACAATGTCAGATCCAGGCAAAGGCCCTTATGTCTGGCCTTACTATACCTATATAAGAAGCAAGTTTTTTCTTCCACAGTATACCACAACCAAGACTGGTGATCTCCTTTCTACTTAATCATGCCATTTTGGCACACTTAAAAAAAAAAAAACAAACTACTTCTACTTATTTACGAGTTAACGCACTTTGTTTCTAAGACACCTTCAAAAGATCCAGGGGGGAAAAATGCCTAAGCAAATATCTGTCAAAAATTTAACAATGGCTACTAAACAAGATCCTACTAAAATATCTGTCAAAAATTTAACAATGGCTACAGCAAAAAGGTAAAGTTACTTCAAAAACAGTAATTATATGAGAATACTTTTAAATTTTGTTCAACACATAGTACTTAGGAAATGGATTTATGCTACCTGCTCGTTTTAAGATGAGCTGATACATTTAGTTTATACAATCTCCACTTAATCCATTTTGTCCAAATCTCACCAAAAGCACTAATGCTAGTCACTACTATAGTAAACATTTAAGCCCTGAAACAGCTGAGGTAGAACAATGGTTGGACACTGAAGAAATCTTATGAGTTCAAGTCTAGAAGATACGCCAAAGATAAAGAATGTGAGCAGGGACAACTGGACAAAAAGAAGAGACCATTTACTCTGAGTTTTGTCTGCATTTTTATAATGAGTCTAAATTACTAGGCTTCACAGCATCCGGTTACGCTAAAATGGTGGTCACACCTATAATAAAAGGACTTACCGATGTGTGGTTGGTGGGCAGCTGCTAGGGCATACTGCTGCTGCTGAGCAGCTGTCAACTGCTGGACAGCCAGCGCATTAGGTCTTTGGAACAGCTGAGGTAAGAGAAAGACATGGTATGGTTAGGAAAGCTATCTTAGAAAATAACTTTAAAACCTCTTTGACTGAAAATTTCAATAAGCCCCTGTTTAGGCTAACAGTTGAACAACAATGAGTGTTCTCATACTCTACTCCACTCCCATGTGATTTACAGTGCTTCATCATTGTGTTCCCTCTTTCTTTATCTCAATATGATGTGCCCAGTTGCCAAGGCTGACCACTTCACAGGTTATATGTCCCCTGAACCAAAAATGTTTTCGCACGGGTATATGCAAAAGCCCTAGTGGTTTATCTGCAGGTTTACAGGTCCTACCTGATTCAAGGCAAACTTAAAAATTAGACAACTGTTCTACAAAATGATTTGCCACATTGCCCCTGGAGCTGAATCTCCTTTCAGTTCTTTCAAGATCCTACAAATACCTTGAATTAATCCTCACCTACTCACATTTTGGAGAATATGAAAAATGTTCACTTCATCCTCTGGACTGCCTCTTCCTGGGAAAATGGTGTTGGATACCTTCCTCAACTAGCAGCTTATCCTAATGAGTAAATTAGACAAGTGCCCAACTTTCAGGGACTCCAGAGTCTCCTAGGATACCTATTCTTGTATGTAGAAAATAAAACAGCAAAAATACAGCTACTACTAAACAAAAACAGGATTATGAGCTCACACCTAGCACACTTAGTACCCAAGAAAAGGAAAAAAAAGGTCAAGGGCCTTAACACTAAGAATGTCCCAAGATTCTCTCTCAAATACAAAAGCCAATTAATTATTCACTCATTAATTAAATATATATTAATGAAACAAATGGTTCTTGCTAGTCACTTTACAAGGAACTAGGAATACAACGAGTAAAACAACATATAATGCCTACCCTCATGTTTTAGTATGAACAGTATTAGTACCCAAAAAAAGGAGATTCTGGTAACCTGATCTTTGGATTCCCTTGATGGGCCTCCTTCCAAGGAGTCATACTGAATGAAGACTTCAGTATTTGCTGAAATCAGACTGAAAGCACTTACTGAAGGGACCTCTCTGGATAGAACCTTCAACCTACCTGCTCTTTCTACAGGATTTTTCAACAGCTCAGCTGACATCACTGGATGATGTATTACAGACACCATGGATCTTGAATTACAGATGTCCTCATAAAGAGACCTGATTGTTTCAGACATTAGGAGATAATGTCATTCCACCAACTCAGCTTAATTATTGTCATGACTGGACTCACTGTTATCCTAGGTGGTGGAGAGACTGGGATTTGGCTACCTCTATGCCTCAAACATATGAAGAGACTGATTTTAAATAGAAAATAGAAAAAGGTGAATATTTTGAACATATTGGCCTCACCTATTAGCTCCCTCTCTATATATATTATTCTTTATAGAAAACAAAGTAAAATCAGCCTTAGCTTTTATAGTAAAATGTCAAAAGTAACAATGTACAGATTTCAAAAATACTTTGAGTTCTTTTGTTGTTGTTTTTTTAAATTTTCAAAGGTTAAAGTAAAGAAAAACGTCAGTGTGATGCTGGTAAAAAGGGAAAGATAGTACTTCTTAACAGGATTTCATTAAACATCAAATCTTAAACAGAAATAGAGAAACACTGACAAACATATCAAAACTCCAGGAAAGGAGATAGTCACTACTATTTGGTAATGGTAATTCTGTGATTTCTGCAAGTTGGATACACATTTGTTTTACCTGAAAACTGTCTCTCACAGTATTCCTACCAACAAGAGCCAGTTCAGCCAACAGGGGCAGACAAGAGTCAGAAGACAAGTAAAATAGTAAAAAGTTGTTTTTAAGTTATTTCCAAGGTTGCAAAAACACCTCATAGTTTCACTAATTATCTACTGTTTCTTCAATGGGTCTTTAAAATTTTCCTGGCCCAAAACCTTTTGAAGCATTTCACTCTCAGACCTTGTTTATACTAGCTTCTTCTCTTTATCCTTCTTTGCCCTGCTGTAAACAAAGTAATTTCATTCGACAAAAATTTTTATAAAAGTTTTAAATTTTTACAAAATAGAGATGGGGTCCTGCTATGCTGCCCAGGCTGGTCTTGAACTCCTGGACTCAAGTGATCCTCTCACCTCAGCCTCTCAAAGTGTTGGGATTATAGGCATGAGCCACCATGCCAGCTACATTCAACAAAATTCTTGAGCATCTATTATTAGGTAATAATAATAAATGTGACATGAAACTGGGAAAATAAAGATGGCATGTTCAGAATACAACTCTTGAGAATATAATAAATGTGACATGGAACTGGGAAAATAAAGATGGTATGTTCAGAATACAACTCTTGAGAATATCTTGACTTATTAATCAAAAACAGTAGGCCACTGCCATTTGATCCGAGTTAACCTAACTTCATGTATGGTTTTTAATATTACATGTAGCTTATTATATGTATGTATAATATATCTGCAAATATACATAGAAATACATAGAAATGGATGTATAAACACCATAAAGTATCATTCATGCAACATTAGCCTGTGGTTCTCACCATCATGTTACCACACTTCAAAAGTTGGAGCTATTCCTTTCAAATAAAAACACACAAGCCATACAAGAGCTCCCACAGTGCCTATCTTTGAGAACTGATTAATATCTTAGTGATTATAATGAATAGAAAAGGATTTTTTGGAGACCATTTTGCAGTAAACAAGTTAACAAAAGGAAATCATGCATCTACAGCAGACAGATTTGATTACAGCAAATTTGGCACATTCTCTTTATGTAAATGGTGCGATATTAACTGGAAATACAGAGCATTCAAAGCAAATTGGGTAATTGCAAGTGATGGATTCCAAAGGATCCTGAAAAGCTCACACAAATGCCATCTGCTGGGCAAAGCACTAAGCTCTGTTAACATTTTCATGGTTTTCATGAAGCAAGTCAATACTCTGTAACTGAGAAGCAAAATAGGGCTAAGGGAAATGCTTATTTAAAATCAGTATATGGTCGGGAACAGTGGCTCATGCCTGTAATCCCAGCACTGTAGGAGGCCAAGGCGAGAAGACTGCTTGAGCCCAGGAGTTTCAGATCAGCCTGGGCAATTTGGTGAGACCTTGTCTCTACAAAAAAAAAATCAAAAGATTAGCCAGGTGTGATGGTGCATGCCTGCAGTCTCAGCTACATGGGAAGATGAGGTGGAAGAATGGCCTCAGCCCAAGAGGTTACCGTGAAACATGATTATGACACTGCATTCCAGCCTGGGCAACAGAGTAAGATCATGCCTTAAAAATTTAAGAAAAATTGCCGGGTTCAGTGGCTCAGCCTGTAATCCCGCGCCTTTGGGAGGCTGAGGTGAGCGGACTGCCTGAGCCCGCAGGTTCGAGACCCACCCAGGCAACTTGGCGAGACCTCATCTCTACAATAAATCAAAAATTAGCCGGGCGTGGTAGCGCATGCCTGTAGTTCCAGCTACTTGGAAGGCTGAGGCAGAAGGATCACCGGAGCCCAGCAAGTCGAGCCTGCGGTGGCCGGGAGCGGCCACTGCACTCCAATCTGGGCGACACGGTGAGACTCCAACTCAAAAAAAAAAAAATTTTTTTAAGAAAAATCTTTTAAAGGTAAATATTAATAATAAATGTACCACTGTTCATTACAATTCACTTGGACAGAATTCATAAGCTATTCAAGAGTAAATGCAGGGGAAAATGTATCACTGACTTCAAGCATATCAAAGTTCCTAATACTGAAGGTATAACTTGAAAAGTAGACAAGCTGGCTTGACTCCCTTCTCTGTCACTTACTATATGACCTCATAAAAAAGACACCCTACAGAGTTCTTATTCCAGAAAGGAATCTGGGCAGACAAAAACACCCAACATAGTGACTGACATGCAATAGCATCTTATAAAAGATAACTACAAGGGTCAGGTGCAGTGGCTCACACTTGTAATCCCAGTATGTTGTGGGGTTGAGATAGAAGGATGGCTTCAGGCTGGGAGTTCAAAACCAGCCTGGACAACATAGTTGTGACCCATGTGTCTACCCCCCCAAAAAGAAAAAAGCCTGGGCACAGGGCCTTGTCCCTGTAGTCCCAGCTACTCAGGAAGCTGAGGTGGGAAGACTGCTTGAACCCAGGAGTTCAAAGCTGCAGTGAGCTACGATCACACCACTGCACTTCAGTCTGGGCAACTGAACAAGAATCTCTGAAACAAATAAACAACCTCACAGCGACTTAGCGTCTATAATACTCAGTGATCTATCACAGAATCAATTAACTGAGTACCACATGTTCTCACTCATATGCAGATGTAGAACAATTATCATAATACTATAAGAAAGTAATCAGCACTAGTGGAAAACTGCCGGGGTGGGGGAAGGGAAGGGGGAACTTCATCAGTAAGGGTACCTGATCTCAAACCAGGTGAAGTAGGGACCAAAGTGGGGCCCAAACTTTGCCTGTACAATGACCATTTGTATACCTAACCCTTAATTGTACCCCATGTCTTTAAAATAAAAATTTTAAAAACAAATAAATTATTAAAAAGTAGCTACCACCACACTATTACTGTTATTGTTATTACCAATAATTGTTGGCATAAAAACATTGCTGAGTTTTCTGAATCTGGAGAAGTAATGTCTAAATATGTAGTTAGCAAATGTAACAGACTATGTGTCCCTGCTCTCCAGCCTTGACTTTTTACCAGTTTAAGACAATATACATAGTAGATAGGCACTAAGAGCACAGACTCTGGGGCCAGGCAGGCTTGGTTCATATCTCAGCAACACAACACTGACTTGCTATTTGACCTCAGGCAAGAGGCTTTATCTCTCTGTGCCTCATTCTCCTCTTCTCTCTAATATGACAATAAAGATAACACTCAACACATAAGGTTGCTGTGGGGACTAAAATTAACACATTTGTTTGTTTATGTTTTTTTGAATCAGTCTCACTCTGTCACCCAGGTTGGAGTGCAGTGACACACTCAGAGCCACCGCAGCCTCACCTGCTGGGCTCAGGTGATCTTTCTGCCTC